CGATTCATCAGTCGTTAGTTGAGAGGGTTGGGCAATTAGAAAATAAACGTGCTCCAATAACAAATAATCAGTTTTGATCGATATGATTTCTGATGTAGATGTAAAGAAATAAAATTGTAGACTTCTTCATTTTTCTTTACTATCTATATTTAGGAACTTCGCTTTAAATATTAATTTCTCATAAAAGAGGAGAATACAGAGAGACCTTTTAAATTTAAAGTTTTTTGAAACTTTTTTAAAAATGTGTTTATTTGGTGTTTTTCACCCAATTTGGTACATTAGATGCTAATACCGAAATTTATGTATGCATATCTCATCATCTTTAGTTTCTAAAGAATTTTCTCTTAAAATTTACTGTTTAATTAGAACTATATAAAATTATGAAAATGCCATAACTTCGATGTTCGCCGCATATCTCTCAAGGAAGATGAAAAATTAGTTTCTATTCTGAAACAATGATATGGTTTTTTCCAGAATGGCCTAATGATGAAGGGCAATCTGTCAGGGTTGGATCAACCAATTACTCCTACATTTCCAATGATGGAAGTACTTGGCAAAGAGCTTGATCTCAGTCCGAATTTCTTCGGTGTTGAGACGAATGCAACTGATCATACTGTGAAATTCCTAAAAGTTGTAGCTGCACAATTCCGAGCAGGACCACCAGACGATTGGGATAAGTACGATGTACAAGACTATGAACGAAAGCTAACCGCTTATTTTCAACAGTGAGTACACGCTAAATCAATATATCGATTTTCTTGATTCATACCATTACAACACTTTTTTTTTTCATGAAATGATATTTTCCAGCGAAATGCAATCCGATTTACTGTATATTTACCCGTTCTCGCTTACATACACCTCGGACGAGATTGTCAGAACCGGTACGAGTTTTTATGTTTTGTGAGTAAATGGCAATCAGAATTTGACGCTTTCAATAAAACGCATCATCTAAGAACATTCTGGAGCTTTTTGGAGCTAATCGAAAAAAAGGGAAACAAATCAATAAACAATACTAGCGTATATATTTTCTGAATATTACTAGAATGACTTAACTTTCTTGCATTTGCAGGACTTTCAATCTTTCCATTCCTTGCTGTTGGATTCACTATTATGAGCATATTCTCGGTTGTTACTGTATTCTATAGTAGTATGGGAATGAACCAGGTACGAATTTTTGAGCTTTCTTCTTTTTTGATAGGGTTTTCACCTTTTTCAGAATTATTTTTTAAATTTACCCATAGAAATTTCGCTTTCGAGTGGCGATCTACATTGCGGGTTCCGCAA